ACCTGTGACCTCAGACCTGTCCTGACCTGTGAACTCAGACCTGTCTTGACCTGTGACCTCACACCTGTCCTGACCTGTGACCTCAGAACTCTCTTGACCTGTGACCTCATACCTTTCCTGACGTGTGACCTGACACCTGTCCTGACCTGTGACCTCAGACCTGTCCTGACCTGTGACCTCAGACCTGTCTTGACCTGTGACCTCATACCTGTCCTGATGTGTGACCTTTTGCCTCTAGCCTGTCTGGCTGTCCCAGAGCAACTTTTGCTGGAAAGAAGGGAAAACTCTCAGGGGACGAGATTCTCAGCACTAAATTCAAGACGAGTGACGGTAAGCTGTCCCCTTTACTGTCTGTGGAGATGTCCGTATGTGAAACCATGGGCCTTGGTAACCAGGCCTGGGCACTCAGCCCCGTTGAACCAGTGGACGGGCTGGGAGGCTTGGTGGAGACAGACCTTCCACCTGAGCTGTTGGCTCCTAACCCTGGCTCTGAACCCCATGAAACCCCTCAAGCAGCCTGCTATGGCCTGGGGTGTCCATGACTCCCCTGGAGCCAGTGAGCCGCAGGCAGCAGAGGAAGCCTTATTCCCAACACTGCAGAGAGCCCTGGCCGCTCCTGCTTGGCCACAGCAAAGACAGGACTGAGGATGGTCAGCATCACGTATAAACAGGTCTGGTTTATCTCAGAAATCACACCTTCTCACCTGTAACATGGGGCAGGAGACAGCGACAAAGGCAGACTCAATAGTCTGAAAGGGGACTTCCCAGCCTCCTGCCCCAGTTCAGGCTCCTGATGCCATTGGCACGCAGGCCCGTGAGCTGTGGCGAAAGATGAGCAGGCCAGGTGTGGTGGCCTCTGCTTGACAGGGGGTGCTGCTCTGTGCTGTCCGCCGTGGCCCCCTGTCTGCTCAGGGCAGAAGCCAATGCCAGGGCTTCTCTCTGCAGTGCTGGAGAACGACGAGGAAATCAAGCAGCTGAACAAGGAGATCCATGACCTCAGCGAATCCAACTCAGAGATGGAGGCCGCCATGGTCAAACTGCAGTCCCAGGTGGGCACTGCAGCCGAGAGCCCCTCCCATAGCCCGTGTCCAGCTCTCAGGGACAGCTAGCATGGCAGGTTCTGGTAATGCTCTCCCTGTTCCTTGGCCTCCTGTCCTGAGAGGAGGGGGACACGGAGCCAAGGCTGCCGTGAGGGCTTAGGCGCTGGGAGGGCTCAGCCACACTTGTCCACACAGCAGCCAACATCGCTGTGCTGGGAGCCACACCGTCAGGGCCAGGGGTCCCCTCAGGGTCAGGGGTCCCCTCAGGGTCAGGGGTCCCGTCAGTGTCAGGGGTCCCCTCGGGGTCAGGGGTCTCCTGGGGGTCAGGGGTCCCCTCAGGGTCAGGGGTCCTATCAGGGTCAAGGGTGCCATCAAGGTCAGTGTCCTATGTGTTTGATGCTTAAGAATGTGGCTTCTGGAGCCAGGTCCAGCCACCACCTGGCCCCCCACAGTGAACCTCATAGCTGCCCTGTTCCTCAATTTCCAGCTCAGTTTGCTGGGCACGAACATGTAAAGGGAGGGTGTCTGTCTGCACGCTTGCCTTCTAAAGCTTCGTTTAGGGCCCTTGTTGGTCTGTTTAGTGAGGGGAAACACAGAAGGAGTCCCGACACCCCCACGGTGGGGCTGTCTCATTTTACTGATGAGGAGCGCAGGGCACAGCCACACAGTGGTGATCCAAGGTCCAGCCCCACCAGCACTGGCCTAGCCACCTCATCCCCTCCCTGCTCCTCTGGGGTCAGGCTGTGTGCCAGGTGTCCCCTCTCTCTCTCCCTACACTCAACACCCCAGGTGACTGCAGCCCCTTCCCTGGCAGCAGGACCAACACCCGCAGGGTCAGGGTCCCGCCCGCTCCCCCAGCCCCTTGCGCTGGGAGTGCCTGGGCCCCTACCAGAGAGATGGGAGGTGTGGTTGGTGAGGACGCCCAGAGAGCTCCGGGGGGATGAGAGGGGCGCAGAGCCGGCGTGGAGGGCGCACGCCTGTCTCTTTCTGCAGATATCCTCCATGGAGAAGAACCTCGAGAACATTGAGAAGGAGAACAAGCTCATCGAGGAGCAGAACGAGGCGCTGTTCCTGGAGCTGTCCGGCCTGAGCCAGGCCCTCATCCGGAGTCTCGCCAACATCCGCCTCCCGCACATGGTAGGCAGCCAGGGCCAGGAGGGGCGCCCTGTCCCTGGGGCCTGGTGGAGGCCCCAGCTGCTTGGGGGATCCTGATCCTGTTCACCTGGCTGAGTGGGTGCTAGCCCTTTGGTTCTGACGCCCGAAGCAGCCCGCCATTGTCTGGCGGTGCCCGTGTCACCTCAGGGGCAGCATCGTGTCTGTTTCTGTGGGGTGGGAGTGTGGATCCCGGGTTTGGTGACCCCGGTGTGGAGCCCTGAGATGGGCTGTTAACCTGGCGCCACTTTCTTGGGCCCAGGAGCCAATCTGTGAGCAGAACTTCGATGCGTACGTGAGCACCCTCACCGACATGTACACCGACCAGGACTGCTACCAGAATCCCGAGAACAAAGCCCTCCTGGAGAGCATCAAGCAGGCCGTGAGGGGCATCCAGGTCTAATGCTCAGTGCGGGCCACCTCGCCTCCAGACCCAATCCAGCCACCTGCACCTGCCCGCTCTACAGGCCTCCCCATGGGACTCTGCTGGGCAGCGGTGGGGGTGCAAGCATGCCAGGGGGCCTCGCTGGGTTTATACAAAGGGGTGCCTACAGGTCAGTGTTTCCCGAGGCCCTGTGCATGGAGGCTACGGGCCACTGAAGTATTACAAAGTGATTTATTTTTGTTTTCTGAAAGAAACCTGAAGAGCAGTTTGAAATCTCCAGTGGAAAGCTCAAAGAAAAAGGTTCTCAGGGAAGTTTCTGGAGTTTGCAACCGCAGTATTCCTTGTCTGTAGTGGCTGGGAGGGCGCCGTGGCGGGAGGCCCGGCGGGCGCGTCTGCTGGCGAGGGCCACACGTGCCAGTGTGTTTTTCACAGTTTTGTTTGATTCAGTTTTGTGTTAAGGATGGAATAAGCCTGTCCCAGGGGAAAATTGGGAACGGGCCTCCCAGAGCCGCTCTGCTCCCCGCCCTCGGCTCAGAGAGCTTTGAAGGGGACGCTGGAAGCCGCCTCACATGCAAGGGGCGGCCGCGTTGGGAGTAACGGCGAGACTGTCCCTGAGGCTTCGTGACCAAGTTGTCATCCTGACGCTGGGGGGTCGGGGTAAAGTCCCAATGGGAGACCACAAAGATTTCACTTCCTTTTAGATCCACTCAAGATGCAAAAAAGGCAAATTTTAATTTAATGTGTTAAAAACACAATGATTCCTACATGTAAATAGAGTCCAAATTGATTGTGACTGCAATTCCGAGCTAGTCTTTAAAAGTAGAGAAATTGCACTTCCGGGAAGAAATAAAAAGTAGTTAGTTTAATTATTCTGTAAATTATTTAATTTTGTCAAGATGTAAGTATTTATATTCACAACCTCCTATGTTAACATTCGCTATTTATTTCACATTTTTATTTATTAATTTTATACTATTTTAACCAGACCCCACCCCAGGGCACCTTGAAAGGGAAATGAATGAAATCAAAGCAAATAACTGACTATAAGATAGGCCACAAAAAAATCTTAATATAACTTCTAGTTATAATTTTGATGCAACCAAGTTATTTTTATATATTTTGTTATTTATTCTTTTAATAATGGAATTTTTTAAGAAGTATTTTGTAACTGAGGAATTTTGATAATTTGGGGCTTTTCCCCTTGGCCCAATGGAGAGAGAGACTTTTTGGTTTTCTTTTTCCCTTCCGGGTTCCTTTTGTTTCGGCACTGACGGCAGGATGGGGCTCTGTGTTCGCTGTTCATTTACGTGTACGCGGTGAAGTGTGCACTGGCGTGTCCTCGTGTGTGTCGGCTCTGTGATGGCTGCGTTGTGTTTCTGTGAAGGAATACTGTCAACTGCAGTAACCGTAGCCTCCGAGTAATGGCAGGCTACCCATCTGTTCTTCTGACAGCTCTGATACTGTGACCCTCCTTCCTCAGGAAACGTGTTAAACCCACAGCACTTCATGATGTATTTGCAGGGTGATTTCCTAATAAAAGTCCACTTCTGATTGTGACCTTGGTGCCGTGGTCTGTTGTGAAGATATGTCCTGTTTCTGCACTGAAGCTCGGCTCTCGTTCATCCTCCCTGGTGTGGGCAGACTGGGGGAGGGGGGCCAAGCCCAGCATTGGTGTTGGGTAGGGTGGGCAGGGTAGAATGACTCCTTTGAGCTTGTGCTAGGTTCTCATCTGTCTGTACTCCTTCACCCTAATACCCACACAGTGGCCACTTTTTGGCTCGGCCAACAGCTCCTTCCCCGTCTGCATGGTTCTGGGGGTTCTAAGTCACTGTATCCTGCCTCTTAACACATGACTAGGTGTGTGCAAATCAGAGTTCTTCCCACGAGTTTTCTCTTGGAGTTAAGGAGGAAAAGCCTTTCTGCTGGGGCTCTTAACCAGCGGAAGTGGCTGTATGTGTGTGGAACTGGGCCCCCCTGGTCCATCTTTCCTGACTACCCGGAGGAAGCCATCCACATTTGGAGAGTTCAGACCTTCTGGAGGGAGGTGGAGCTGAGTAACGGAGAAAGAAAGGTGGGGATGGGAGTGGAGGAAATGAGATCATTTCACTAACACCCTCTGAACTCCTGGATCTAGCCAGCCTGAATCGGCCCATCCTGTGGTTTCCAGTTTTGTGTGGCAATGGATTCTCTCTCCTCTCCACCCCTTTCCTTCTTTCTCTCTCTCCCTTTTTTTGCGTAAGCTGGTTTGAGTGGGTTCTTTGGCCTTGCGATGGCACCTCGCCACTGCTACGCTTTGTTTCAGGTGGCGCTCTAGACCTCCTAGGGTGAGACTTTGGTTGAGGCTTCTAGGCAGACTCCGCCTGAATGCGAACACACTGATGGCCTCCCTGAGAGTCAGCATCTGACTCGCAAACATGGGCGTGTGGCCATGTCCCTCCCTACGTGGGCACGTCCAGCTCTGGCAGTCGGTCTGGCCACTTCCCTCCACCCAGTGAGTCTTGCTCCTTTTCCAGCTGGAAGGTTTATCTGACCCCCTCGTCCATCCCAATAGTGAACCTGAGTTTTGGGGGACCCCATCTGCCCCATTCTGTTCACCGTGCTCCACCCTACCCCCTGCACGCCCCACCTCCACACCCCCTTCCCACCCCTCTCCCCGCCGCCGTCCCTCCTCTCTGCACACCCCACCCCCCACCCTCCATAACCTCTCCTGGTCTTCCTGGACCAACGCAGCCAAGGTGATTGTGTTATGCACCCCTCCCCCCCCAATTCAAAAGACCAGCGAGTGGGCGTCCACTGGCTCACCAGCGGACAGTGTATTCAGTGCTGGGTGCTCGGCAGCGCTGTCTTCGCTTGGCCTCTTACCGCGAGACCCGGCAGTGCCAGTGCTGAGGTTGGTGTTGCTGCGCCCGTGGCCAAGACGCCACTCTGCCCGAGGGGCCCGGAGGGCACGCTCCCAACTGGATCCCTCCCCAGGCTCCCCTCTCGCTTTCAGAGGAGACAGTGGGGACTGGGGGGGCAGGGGCTGGGTGAGGGGTCCCAGATCCTAAGAAACGGTGGTCAGCTGTCCAGGGCCTTGCACTCTGTGTGTTCTGTGGAGGGACCTCCGAGTCCTGGTCCGACACCACTTTGTTAGGACCCTTCCCTGGCCCAGTCTTGCTAACTTCTTATTTAGGCGACTTTTAAAAGATTAATCCCTGGGTGGCATAAACTAGCGGAAAGGTTGGCAGTTCGAACCCACCCAGAGGCACCTGGGAAGATAGGCCGGGCAATATGCTTCACAAAGGTACAGCCTGGAAAACCCTGTGGAGCAGTTCTACTCTGCACACGTGGGGGTGACTGGAATCAATTCAACAACAACCAACAACATTTTAAGAGGAGAAATTAATTTAGAGACTCCTTTTTCAATCATTTAACATATGTGAATACATTTGAGAATACCCCTATTTTCAGATCAATACCACACCTTCTTCCAACAGCTGTGAAGTGGTGACACCTTGTGGTAAATCTCGCATCTTGTCCTTGCTTGTGGCCCCAGTCCGATGCAAAGTGACACCTGGCCCAGGTGCAATGCCATTATTAGGAATGCTGCTGCCGCTGCCGCCTTGACAACCATGACAGGTGTTTGCCACGTCTGTGGGAGAACATCGCAGAGGTCCAGAGCACCAAGCGTGAGCACGAGACTTTCCCTCCTCCCTGGACTGCAAAGAGCAGCCAGAGATGGCAGAAATGACGGGCTGAGGAAGAGACTTCTGCTGCAAAAGGGCCAAGGGGGGCTTTAAGCAGTGTCTTAGGGCTGAGTGTGGGGAAGGGCAGCGGCACACGGTGACCCCTCCGCCAACAGCACTGTGTCAGTCGTGCGCCTTCAGCTAGCAATGGGCAGAGCAGGGCAGAGCCAAGGGCGGTTACTGCCCAAGGCTTGGAAGCAGAGTTTCTCCTGGAGCTCAGCTTCCTGTTTTTAAAACGCTTAGAGGATGAAAAGTATTTTTGAGTTATTGTAATTGCAAAAGCAATACTCGCCTGTGGTAAAAACAATTCGACAGCACAGAGGTAAATAAAGAGGTGGTGCCCTCTACCAACAGCTGAGAAGCTCTGAGGAAGAAAATAACCTCGCGTTCATGTAGTTAGCATTTCCAGTGCTCCTCATCCTTTGTGTAGAGCTGGGATCATGTGCTTTTTGCCTGAAGGACTTTAATATTTTGTGTTGTGTGAGTCTGCTGTTCATGAATTCTTTTGGCTATCATACGTCTGAAAAAAATATTTACTTTATCTTTTTTTATAGACTTTTTTTAAAGCAGTTTTAGGTTTACAGAAAAATTGTGCAGAGAGTACAGAGAGTTCCCACAGACCACCCCCCCCACCTCCAGTTTCCTCTCATTAACACCATCCGTCCCTGGGGTACATTTGTTACAACTGATGAAATAATATTGATACATTATTATTCACTAAAGTCCATAGTTTAGGGTTCACTATTGGTGTTGTACAATCCTACTGGTGTTTTAAAAATTTTTTTGTGTGGTAAATATGTGTATAACAAAACATTTGCCATTTCAACATTCTTAACATATACAGTTTAGTGACAGTCATTGTATTCATCATGTTGTGGAACCATCACCCTTAACAGAAGCTCAGTGTCTCCTAAGCAATGAGTCTGGTTTTCTTCCTCCTTTCCTCCCTCCTGCCCACCCCTGGTAATCACTAATAACCTTAGGTCTGTATACATCTGCCTGTTCTAGACATTTCATGTAAGTGAAATCATACAGTATTTGTCCTTTTGTGAGTCCTATTGTAACTGACTTATACAGGGTCGCTATGAGTCAGAATCGACTTGACGGCAGTCGGTCTGGCTTTTTTGGTTTTACTGTAACCGAATGCCTCTCGGGTTCTTGTCCTGTCCTATTAGCTGATTGAAATAAGATGGACACCACCTGCAAGGGAAACAGAAAGTGGCAAGTTTATTATCTGCGCAAATAAGGAGCAACGTGAGCTCTAGTGACCAGAAGACTGCGGGCTCCCCAAACTGGGGATCTGGGGATCTTTTATGGGGAGACTGGTTCCGGGTCTTACACCTCCGTCCCCCTTAGCCTGCCCATTCTTGGAATTCCCCTCCCCTGTCCAAGTTTGGGAGTCTGGTTGCCGAGTCATCTTGGGCCGGATTGCTGGTTGACGGACCCCTTATTCCAGAATGGGCTCTGGGTACAATGGCGGGCTGGTTGGTGTGCTCTCCTCCGGAGGAGGGACGTTCTGAGCTCAGGTTCCGTGCAGGCATGGGTTTCCTGTTGGAGCTGGTTCTCAAGGCGTAGCCTTCTAGCCTGGAAAAAGTTACTAACAAAATGTTGCCTAGAGTGTATCATCAGTTAGTCATGAAGAAAAGGGCGTTAACGGATCTTGCACAAGTTTATCTTATCTTGGGGTGACTCTCAGGAGCCTTTAGCCTTGGGGCACCTCCCAGGAGCCTCTAGCTAGGGTTTCACTATAGATTTTGACAAATGTATGATGCCATATGTCCACCATTACGGTATCATACAGACCTACTTTAAAAGTGCCCTGTGCTCCACCTATTCATCTCACCCCTCCTCCTGAACCACTGACAACTTTCTCTATAGTTTAGCCTTTTCCAGAATGTCATGTAGTTGGACTCATACAGTATATAGCCATTTCAGATTGGCTTCTTTCACTAAGCAATACGCAGTTAAGATTCCTGCATGTCTTTTTGTGGTTTGAGAGCTCATTTCTTTGTATTGTTGAGTAATACTTTGTTGTATGGATGTACCACAGTTTATCCATTCACCTATTGAAGGCCATCTTGGTTACTTCCAATTTTTTTGCAATCATGAATAGAACTGCTATAAACATTTGTGTGCAGGATGTAAGTGTGGGTATGTTTTCATCTCATTTGAGTAAATACCTAGGGGCATGATTGCTGGATTGTACGCTTTACAAAAAACAGCCAGACCGTCTTCAAAAGTGGCTGTACCACTCTGAATTCCCAGCAGCAACGGATGAGGTTTCCTGTTTCTGCACATCCTCATCAGCACTTGATGTTGTCAGTGTTCTGGATTTTAGCCATTCTAACAGGTGCGTCGACTCTCTGGTGACTAACAACAGGTGTGTAATGGTCTCTTACTGTTTTAATTTGTAATTCCCTGATGACTTACGTCTAGTATTTCAAGTGCCCATTTGTCATCTGTATATCTTCTTAGACGAGGTGTCTGGTCAGGTCTTTCGCTCATTTTTAAATGGAAAAATAACTTAAAAATTACATCTAATTCCATGTAGGAAAAAAAGATTTTTAAAAGAAAAAACTCCTATTAGGGAATTCTTCATATCTTGTAATGATTAATTACAAGCAGGATGTCAATTTTGCCACCTCCAAGTTTCAGCAGGAGAGAAAATGTGCATTGAACACTTCTGGCTCTGGGCCCTGAAGGCCCAAGCCGGATGGATTATAAATACAGACCCCTAGTGGCCTCCAGACACAACCTGCCTCCACACCCCAGGATGCAGCCATCCCCCATGCCCCCAGACACAACCTGTCCCCCC